GCCTAGCAGGGAGCCCGATGCGGGACTCGATCCCAGGACCCTGGGATCATGACCTGAGCCGAAGGCAGACGCTTAACCATCTGAGCCACCCAGGCACCCCTCCCTTTCTATATTTTTAAGAGTTCTTTAAATGGCTGTGTAACCTTAGAGTTGTTAAAAATTGAGTGATAATGGTAAAGCTCTGTTAAGCTTCCGAAAGATATAATTTGTTTTGAAGATTTTTATCCTTAATATTTTGCAGCTTAACCCTTATCCTGATGTGTCTGGGTACTGACTACTGTTTGGGTATGTGTTCTCCTCTGTGTCCTATTTCTCATGCTCTGTTCCTCTCTCCTAGCTTTCAATTTACTCCTCCTTTGACTGTGTTCCATCTAGCATTTATCCTCTCTGTTGAGGTTTTGTGTCTTGTTTTTGTTTTTAAATTTCCAAGATTTCTCATTTGTTCTTTCCTGTCTACTTATTCTGGTTTCATTTGTCCCTGTTTTTATTCATAACATCTTTTTTAAAAAGGTTTTCTTCGTTTATCCGTGATCTTGAATATATTTATCTTGAAAGTGCCTGACAAGGTGTATAATACATTTCACGTGAAATAGACTTATTTCCTAGACGATTTGTTGGTTATCTTTTTCAGAACTAGTCATCTGCTGTGTTTTGGGTACTGTGTTTACAGGCCATTTTGAGTGGGAGGGCTTTTGTTTCCTTTGCATTCATTCTCATTCTGGTTTTGAGCTGAGCTATGCCTTTGTGCTTTTCTCTATATTTAATGGACCATTGTTTTCTGTGTTCTGAGAAGAGGGCGTACATCAGAGCGTGGAATCGGCTCCACCATCTCTACCAGATGTTGCCCTTGCCAACGTCGTGAAGGGCATTCCATACCCTCCAGCCCACCTCCCCTCACTTGCGAGGAATATGTAAAGCAATTTGATTAGGCTTTTTTCCATGTCATTTCCCACGTGGACATACTTGTTCTGTTAGTGATTTGTAACTCCCTTATCTTAACCTCGCCCGGGACCAGTGTACAAGAAGACTCAGCACTTTTTCAGACTCCGGCAGGGAAGATGATTGTACACCCGACAGCCTTTTAAATGCTGACCAGTTTTCCCTCCTTTCCCTGTCTCTCTTTTCAGCCGCCACAGAAGATTTTTAGGTGCTTGGTTTACTTTTTAGCATCTTTTTTTTTAATTCAGTACACAGTCATTTTAAAACTTAAACCCAAACAGGCTTGGTGTTGGTTAGCTAAATTTTGAGCTTGCTCTTTATAAATCTCAACATTGTAGTTTATCTTAAAATTTAACAATATTGAGTATGTGATTTCTTGCAAGTCGATCATACAAAGGTATGAGTAAAATAAAAATATTTTCCTAAGGTTTTTATAGTAAATGATATTGTTCCACTAATTTTCATATATAAAGGACACAGTATTGCTTTCAGCTTGGAAGGCATTTAACCTCTGACTTGGATAATTTTCTCTTTTTTAGAGTGTATACAGAAATGCTGTATTTTGTTGTACAGAAACCTAATGTTCACCTTTAAAATGAGATTTATAACTAACAAAATTTGGCCCACACCTTACTTTGAATATTTGGTTTTTAAAATTTTAGGCTAGCTCTCCCTCCCCCCCCCTACTTCTATATATATCTCCCTGTTCAGCTGGCAACTGCCACGAGAGTTCCAGGAAATGTACACCCCTGTATGCTCGCTCATTGCACTTTAAATTACTGCCTTTACTGTACTTGAGCACCTCCCTTCAGTCTAGCTTGCTCTGTCCATTTCTGAGAGCCGAGGCCCTCCGTAAAGTACCAGGTAACAGCTCGAACAATCAAATTAGGCCACCCTTTGTAGAATGGGGGTTGGGGGAAGTGTAGATGTCAGAGGTGGGAAGGGACTTTGTAGTTCACCTTGGTCCTGGCGAATGCAGAGTACCACTGGAGTTTTTTCTTCCTTTAGACTTGTAGAACAGATCGCTGTCAGAACCATTAAAAGATAACCCTTTCTGCTTTGAATCCATATATTAGTAGCTATTTTGGTACTGTCTGGTCATGAGACTCTGTCCCAATTGCAAAGCAGAATCGTAATGATATTTATTATTATTCCAGTAACTTCCATTCTATAACAGATAATTGAGAAAATAGGATCGGATCAGACATTTGCTTAAACATACTCCCTCCCTTTCAGGAGCATTTCTGTCCCGCGAAATAAAGCATTTGGTATAGAGGTAAAGACTTGAGTTTTTGGGGAGCCTTTGGGACCGTTCGTGAATTCGTCAACAGAATCTGGTTGTGTCCTCCTCTGGGCCTGGGCCTATGCTAGGAGGGATGGAGAGGCAAGGACCCAGGCACTTCTGTCGGACTCGCAGCTGTGACAGGTGCCATGCTAGCTACCTCGTCATGTGTGGAACAGTTTAAATGACTAATTTACCACGGAGCCAATAAGGGACATTGACCCCATTGTGGGACTGAAGAGAAAAGGCTGTTAAAACCAAAATTGCTATGCTTAACTTAACGATGTGCTTGCTATAAACATGAAAATACTTCTGCAAGGCTGGACTGGCTTTTATGCCTTTGCGTGTTCTGAAGAAAAAAAGACATCTCAAATAAAAAATGGTCAGCTTTTCACCCAAGTTTTACTTGGCCTAATTGGATTTGGGAGGTATTTGAATAATGGATAATGAGCTTTCCTGAATGTGTACAGAAATGAATTCACCCTGGGCCCTAATTCATTCTGTTATCAGAGCTTCCTAAGTATGTTAGCCCTTTGTATTCAGTATTCACTGGGAGATTATCTGTTACCTCATTAAATGAGTGCGGGCAGGATAGGGGCGCCTGGGTGGCTCAGCTGGTTAGGCATCCAACTCTTGGTTTCTTCTGGGGTCAAGATCTCAGGATCATGAGATCAAGCCCCACGTCAAGCCCAGTCAAGCCCAGTGTAACGTAGAGAAACACTTAAATGGGTATATTTAAATATTTGTAGGTTAAAGTTGGTTAGGAAAGCTTATTGCATGTAAGATCAGTGCATTTTACTCTGTGAGTTTACCTTAATTTTAAAATCAGTTTTTAAAAAGTATTATGTGAATACCTCTTATTTTCTAAATATCTTTAGTAAATGACATCTCCAAGTTTTACTTTCTTTACCTTTCTGTCTTTTGTGGGGGGGTGTGACAAAAAGTACATATTAATATAATCCTTTGGCTGAATAAAATCAGTTGCCCACAGTTACTGATACTTTGGCCCTTCTTTCCTCAGAGCGAATATTTGTTGGTTCAGTGGTTTAACCATATCGAAGATCTCTTCCGTCTCTTCAGTCACACCAGCTGGACTGACCAGATTGTTTCCCCTCCCAAGGCAGAATTCGTACTTGTTGCCAAGTGCTTCCAGTCAAATAGAACAACAGATTTAAGGCTTAGATTTTTGTTCCTTCAAGTGATTTTTCTGTGTTACATAGCATTTCCCTGAAAGGCTTACTCTCATCCACAGTTGACGTGATGAGTGTGTTATGCTGGATTATTTTGCTTATCTCAGATAGGTTTATCATCTATAAACATGCTTTTAAGTTATTAGCCCACCTCTAGTGTGAGTCAAAAAGGCCTCCCTGCCATTTTGCAGTTTTTTAAAGTAAGTAGAATTAGCAGAATGTGGCGATTTTTAAAAATTCCTGTCGAATCTGCACATGGTTTGAGCAGTGAAAGAGGACCACGATGGGTTGAAGATACAGGCTGGTGCTGTGCTCTCCATACCTCAACCCATTGCCACAGCCTCTTGGCTCACGGCCATTTTCAGTTCTTTGAGCGGCTGATTCTCACTTGCGTAGATCTCCATATTTCTAAGGAGAATGTTTATTTTCTAATTCATTAACTTAGACCTTTACGCAGGTGGAGGATTTCATTTTCTTAAACAGCCATCCTTGTTGCTTTTCCTCCCCTTAGCTTCCCCTTCCGTTCTCCCAATCTGTTACACCTTTCGGTTAAAACAATATCCATCATTTACATTGTTTGCCTATGCACATAGTCACAGATGATGTCGTACCGTAGTTTCCTTTCTAAAGTTTTCCCATAGTTAATAATTGCCTTGTATACTTCCATCTGCAAAGGCTTCTTTCTGCCTGTTGCTAATTCTTCCCATACCTCTTGGAGCCTCTCGGGCAGTTTTCCACAAGGTCGGTCAGCACTGGCCGGTAGGAATACAGTGCACCCTGCCTGTATAATTTCACCTTTCCTAGTGGCCACAGGAAAAAAGGTAAAAAGAAGCAGATGAGATTAATAGTAGTTTATTTAGCCCAATATGTTCAAAATGTTATTTCAACAAATACTACTGAAAATATTTGAGGTTTTTTACTTTTGTTTTTTAGTATGTCGTCACAACCTGATCTGCATTTCTACACTTACACAGCACCTCTTTTCAGACTGGCCACCTCTCTGTGCCCTCAGGAGCCACATGCGGGTCGTGGCTGGAGTATTAGAGCAATTTCAGGTGATTTCTTGGTTTCAGTTTTCGTTCTGGAGACCTCCATCCTCCTTCTGTTTGGGTTGCTTGGTCTATAGGCCTGACAAACATAGCTATCATCCTGAAACTTCCTCTGTTTTTCTTGACTGGATTCCCTATTTCTTGGATTTCAGGACTTCTCCTTATCTCCCTCTGGTGGTTTCGTTCAGTCATGGTGGGTATGGTGCACAAAGGCATGTCACTGACACATCTATCTCTTGAGGCCTACTGCTCCAGTCTGGCCCTCTTGCTTCCAGGTCTGGTACATACTTGTCATCCTGGGAGCTCTTCCCTCCACAGTGGCAGTGGAAGTTGCCTTTGCCTTTGCTCTTGTGTCAGGTGGTTTTTTTTGTTTGTTTGTTTGTTTTTACCTTACTATATCTTATATTTTTCTCTTTCTTGCTTTATTTCTTCCCTCAGGTGGAAGATATGCTCCAGTGGATTGCTGAGGATGGGAGCCTGGGTGTGGTCAAGTGTTTGAGGCTTTGCCTCTCTGCAGTGTTAATTTAGTTAACTTATTGCGCCTTCTCACTTGGTGATAATTGGGCTGGGTATAGAATTCTAGGCTAGAGATCCTTTTGCTTCAGATTCTAAAAACATTGCTCCAGGGGCTCCTGGGTGGCTCAGTCGTTAGGTGTCTGCCTTTGGCTCAGGTCATGATTCCGGGGTCCTGGGATCGAGCCCCGCATTGGGCTCCCTGCTCCGCGGGAAGCCTGCTTCTCTCTCTCTCACTCCCCCTGCTTGTGTTCCCTCTCTTGCTGTGTCTCTCTCTGTCAAACAAATAAATAAAATCTTAAAAAAAAAAAAAAAAAATAAATAAATAAATAAAAACATTGCTCCATTGCTGTCTAGCTTTCAGTGTCCTCGAAAAGTCTGAAGCCATTCTGATGACTTTATCCTTTGAACGTGAACTATTTTTTCTTTCTAGGAACTTACTGAATATTTTCTTTTCTTTTTTTTTTTTAGATTTATTTATTCATTTTAGAAAGAGCGCATGTGCGTGTGTGATGGGGAGGGGGCAGAGAGAGAATCTCCAGCACACTCCCTGCTTACCATGGAGCCCAACACAGGGCTTGATCTCACTACCCTGAGATCATGACCTGAGTCAAAACCAAGAGTCCTATGCTCAACCGACTGAGCCATCCAGGTGCCCCCAGAATATTTTCTTTGAAGGATTCTGGAATCACATATTAATGAGCCTTAATGTAGGTCTGTTTTTATCATTTGAGCATTTGAGGGTCTGGAAGATTTCCTTAAAACTATTTTTGTTTTTTTAATGTTTTCTTTCCTTGTATTCTGTTTTGCCTGATTTTCTATTGTGGGTTTTTGGGGATAGGGGGTACTTTACTTTCTGGGAGGATTTCTTCTACCTTTACTTAACATTTTGTTCTTAATTCGTAGATACAATATCTTTTTTTTTTTTTTTTATCTCACTGAGTATATTAATAATATATTTTTTAAAGCTTTCTCTTCTGTGTAGTTTATTTCTTCCAAGGGACTTTTTTCCTGTTTCATTTTTCTTGTAAATCTCTTTTATACTAGAGGCATTCATCTCACATCTTAGAATCAGTGGTTGTCTGTGCGTGATGAAGAGTGGGGGCTCACAACGCAGATTGAGAGCTCTGAGAAGGTGGAAGGGTCTCATCAGCACTGATCTGGCCATGAGCCCTCTAGCTGGGCTATTGGTTGTGCGCCCTGGTGATGTTATCTTCTGGTCTTTGCTCTTGTCTGCTCAGATCACATAGAAAGCACTGCCTCCTGATTTATATTCTCCAGAAAATGATTCCCCAGAGTTCTGTGGTGCAGGGTGACAGTCACCCAGCAGCATGGAAGGGGGGCAGTGGGGAGATCCGCTGCTTCTCAGACAGCTCCAGCCCCGTCCCCTGCAGTGAATCCCACCCCTCCATCCAGAAGCAGCATTTCCTGAGTTTCTGCAGGATTCTGTGGTGGAAATGGACTGGTGCTTTGCTTTCTTCACAGCTGGCTTGTAATTGAGCTTTCTCAGACCTGCCAACTACTAATAAGATTTCCAGCTTCCAAAATTCTATTGCTGCTACCTTCTCCTGTTCTGCCCGCTCCTGTAAGTTTGTCTTTTTTTTTTTTAAGATTTTATTTATTTGAGAGAGAGTGAGAGAGAGATGAGAGGGGAGAGAGTCAGAGGGAGAAGCAGACTCCCCACTGAGCAGGGAGCCCGATGTGGGACTCGATCCTAGGACTCCAGGATCACGACCCGAGCTGAAGGCAGTTGCTTAACCAACTGAGCCACCCAGACACCCTGTCTTTTTTTTTTTTTAATTGTAATAAAATACACATAATAAAATTTACCACCGTAACCATTTTAGGTGTATATCTTAGTGGCACTCAGTACATTCACATTGTCATATGGGTTTATCTTTTAATAAGAATAAAATACAAATTAAAAAGAAAAGATTTTTAAATGGGGTTATCGTGGTGTTTTAGAAGAGCGAAATTAGATGCCTGTGATCAGTCTAGCAGGAGGCATGATTTGGGTCTTCTGTTAACCCAGGCACTTCCTCTTTCTGACAGTTTGGTGTAATGGGATTTGTCGACCATCTCCTCGGAAAGGAGTTGAACAGTTGTTGGCATAAAAGTGCATTTTATCTGCTCTCAGTAACTGTGGCTTTATACAAGGTTACAGATGGAGCTCCCAGGCTTGTGGCGTTCAAGGCTCTCCAAGATCTGGCCAGCCCACCTGTGTGCTCCAGCCATCTGTCACTGCCCCCACCAGCCCACTCACTGCCGCTTGCAGAACATGTGCACGCTCGCCGTTGCTGTGCTGGGTGTCCCTGAGCCAAGGGCCCTGCCACCCCTTTCTGTCTCCCTGCCCTCTTCCCCGCATTTCCAGCTCCCGGCCCCACGCCATCCTCCCATTGCAAGCATGTGGCTGTCCTCTTCTGTTTTCCCTTCAGGACCTTGTATGTGCCTCTGAATGATCGATCACCTTGTGCTCCCCACACTGCCTAGTTCTCTTGGACGTGTGTTTCTGTCCCGGGTCCTCTCAGTGCCTGGCACATAGCCCACGCTTGGTTAAACGTCTGCATGGCTTCCTGATGCCAGGGATTTCAAAAGAGAACTCTTTATCCTTTTCTTTTGTAGGATATCCGACACGAAGCCAGTGACTTCCCATGTAGAGTGGCCAAGCTTCCTAAGAACAAAAACCGAAACAGGTACAGAGATGTCAGTCCCTGTAAGTATTCACATCGCCATTACCAGTCTCACTGCTCCCACTGGGTGCGCGCGCGGCGGCGCCTCCTCAGCGGCAGGGCCTCTCCGGCGGGACCCCTGTGCCCCGGGCTTTCGTAATCCAGCCATGGCAGTACCGCTTTATGACTTGGCTGTTTGCTGTAATCCAGGCATCAGAGACTTAGAGTAATGGTTTGTTTTTTCCACGATTGTAGAAGGAACAAGAGTTCAGTTTCTGGAAAATTCAGCTAAGTTCAAAGCACTTTTTTGAGCTTTGACTGTTTTTATGACGAATCATTTTGCTCCCAGCCGAAGCAGAGTATAGTAGGCATGATAAAACCTTTTCTGGGTGACTCAGCAGCAGTAGTAGTAGACCCCGAGCACCGTACTGAACTGTGCTAGTGCCCGGCACAGGCACTGAAGAAGGGGGGTGGCGCTCCCGCCTGCTAAAGACCGCTCTGCCTGTGAGTCCCACCCCCACGCACCCTACCCCCCCACCGCCATCCTCATTCTTCTAGCTCGCTCTTGCCGTTATCTCTCAGCTTGCCTGCTGGCCTCTGACCGCCGCCTCTGCCTTCTGAGTAACTGGCTCTGAATCTGCTGATAGTTAAGAACTAAAGGTGTTGGGATTTGTGTAAAGCGAGAAAAACTGGAGCTGAGTAGAGAGCATGGACTTTGCCATCTCCTCGAGGCCACAGAGAACCTTCTGACTCACCTCCAGGGCTTTTAGACCCTGCCCGTCGGAGAGGGTTGTGGCTGCCCGTCTCCCGTGGCAGTCTCTTCCGTCTGCCAGGGACGCAGTAGTCCTCCGTCCCACAGGCGCCTCCCGCAGGCCTGCTGGGTCCCACGGCCCCCCGCGCTCTCGGCGGAAGAGCCGGCAGTGCCTCCTGCCCCGAGCTGTGCGGCACCAGGTTCCTGGGAGGGGCGCCGAGTGGACCCAGGTTGGGCCCGGGCAGTCTGCCTCTGAGTGCTGCCATGGTTCCCCGCCCGGCTGTGTTCCAGCCTGCTGCTGACGGCCGATGGATCTGTTCTCTCATCTTCAGAAAAGCAGGAGCCACGCAGATCTCAGGATGGCGTGAAGAGGCAATAAAATAACACAGGCCGCTTAGCCCAGTGGTGGGGACGGTTGTTAATAGAAGGTGCACACCGGGCACTTCTGAAGTGTAGTGCTAGGTCATCAAGCGGCACATGATTGTGCCCCGACACCCGACACTCTTGCTGCAGCACGTCTAGGCGGTGGCACCTAGCAGGTTTTATTAAAAAAAAACAACAACAAAGCTCCCCGCCGGTCATTCTGTTGTGGAGTCCCGACCAGCAGCTCTGAACATCAAAGAAAAATCACTGTTGGCATCGTTCATGTGGAGCCAGGAGACCCCCTTGCCATCCTCACTCTGCACTAGGCAGTGATGTCCTCTTAATATTCCTTTTCTACGTTTCTCATCTGTGCTCATCTAAATGGTTTTATGAGCCAGTTTTACAGAGGGGGGGAGGATCATTAAAATATTCTTCGCAGGAAACAACTCCCAGACCTTTTCACCCCAGTCTCACTCCTGTTTCTCTTGTTTTCCCCCAACTCCACTGTCCAGCAGGACAGATAATTTGCTCTTAAGGTCATGGGGGACATAGGGGGAATGATTCAAGGTAGAAAGTGATCTTTTGTCTGTTTTCCATTTGGCCAATGAAAAAGCCCAGTGCTCAGAGGAGGAGTTGTTTGGCCAAGGTCACCCAGTACTGTTTGAACCCATTCATATAACCCACCAAAGGGTTATGTGGTCTCTTCATCTTTTTTGAGATCTATCCCCATGACTTAAATATTACCCAAGTATTTCAGTTTGTATTAATCCTCTGTGATGAGAAACATTATTCCAAATGGTGACTAATTTTTTAAAACCTTTCCTTGAAATCTTTTAGAACAAAAAGCCCCAAACCATGTGTCCCCATTAACTTCTCCTTTCCCATCGGGCTAGGGGAGAGAAGATAGTATTCACGAGTGGTCACCCAAGTTCATCATCCCTTGTGTTGTACCAGAAATAAAAATACCTACCTCCTCTTGTTAGCTGCACTAGCAGGATAAGGAAAGTGGCCCTCAGGGAACTACTGCTTTTGTGACAAAGTCATGGTAAAAGGGAAAAAAAGTGGCTATGCATTTTCAGTAACCTGGGGCAGACCTTCCAAATGAGAGTTTATTTTTAAAAACTATTCTGAAAGTTACATTTAATGTACTTTCGGTGTTTTGGATTCAGAGTTTATTTTTTCCAGTTAATTATCTTTTAAATGTCTTTGATCATGACAACTCCTGAATTTGAAATATTAGAATTCAATTCTAACTGAATTCTGTTCATAGATTAGAATCATTTAAGTGAATTACACTCGAAACTTAAAAAAAAAAAAGAAAAAGAAAAAAACTTTATATAAAGGAATTCAAGGTAACCCTTCCCACACCACTATATATTTAGGTCATTTCATCTTCAAACCATTGGACATAGGGTAGGTGGAGATATGATCATAAATCCCACCTACTGTGGTTCATTGTACCAACTAGAGCTCTAGGAACTGGGTGAAATTTTTGGTGGATTTTTTTTCCCTTTTAAAGATTGAATCCACTGTGTTTTTTTACCTTTTGAAAGTATATATTAGGCATCCAAGAACAGATCCCTTGGCACCCCCTCCTCACAACCTCCTGAGTTGTGGGGCAGTGATAAGTGTAGGAAGATAGGACCTCAGAATAGATTGTCCAATTAGAACAGAACCCATGTTTTAGTGTAGTTTGTCTGTTGCTATTTAGCGTTAAGTTTCAAACACTTCCAGAAACCTTTCTGAAAATACTTAAGTCCTCCTCATATTGATGACTAATCTCAGTTAAAACAACATGGCCTCAGCCACCACCGACTCACCTTTTTTGCTTTCCCCATGGGGTGCACTGCCTGTGTGGACACTTTGGTCGTCCAGGACTAACGTCGGAGTTCTGGCTTGCCTTTCAGTTGACCATAGTCGGATTAAACTGCATCAAGAAGAGAATGACTACATCAATGCTAGTTTGATAAAGATGGAAGAAGCCCAGAGGAGTTACATTCTTACCCAGGTAATTGGATTGTCCAAGATTTTCTTTAATGGGTTTTTGCCTTACTTGATGTCAACTTAAGAATTTCAGAGTACTGTCATCTGTACTTCAAATAAAATCTGTCACACCCTTTAGAAGGCCAGGTTGTGCACAATCCAGAAAAAGCAGTGAGGAAGGAAAAAAAAATCTTCTTTCAGAAACTCCGTTTGCTTGTAACACATATCTTTTCTGGGAAGTACGCCGCTGCTGGGCTTCTAGAAAACAGCATGAAATGCCAGAACTGCCTGTGGGCCCACTGCCGGAGGCAGCAGGGCCGTGGCAAGAGAAGCGCTCACACCCGTGTTGATTCCGTAAGTGTTCACTTCAGAGCATCGAGGCTGCTCACGGGAATCGAAGAGGGTTAGCAGTAGACCAGTAATCTTCGTCCGGGTGTCCGCTCGGAATTCCTCAGCATGGTCTTCATTCTTGAGCCCAGAAAAAAAGCATCCTTAGATTGCGTGGACAAGCATGCAAAATCATTTAAAATTCCCATTGGCTTTTGGCATCTTTGTGGGAAAAAATCACAAAAATGATTTAATACTTGACCTTCTTGTGAAACACTTACCCGCATATGACCCCAAGACCATGGATATCAGGGAAAGAGGATAGAGAAGTTTCTTTTTAATTCATTTTCTCAAGTCTTAGTCTGTTACTTGTAAGTTGCTCTCAACACTTGAAGTTTCTCTCTCTTTTTAGTCACAGTTTTTGCTTTCTCATTCCATATCCATTCATCAGTGTTCTGTATGGCTTCGGGTATAGGGTGATTTTGAATGTTGTACTTCTGTTTAATACTGGGAGATTAAAATGACAGTGAAGCCAGAGAGCGTATGAACAAAGGCTGCCTTGGGGCAGGGAGCTGGATCCGGGCATAGCTACCATGGCCCTTTTTTACTGCCCTGTCTTGTCATGTCCCAGTTCCTCTCTGTCCATGAGGAACATCAGCCCAGGTGCCTCCCAGTGTATGGAACATCAGCCACACCGTGTTCAGTCCTGGGCCATTGAGGAAGTTCTTGGTATATGTGTAGGGGGCAGGCCTTTTACCAGACCTCAGCCTGTGGTCTTCCCAGCACCTCTGGGGCGGTTGGGATAGGGTGACAAGGAAGGAGATCCTGGTAGTGGCAGGCTGGTGGGAAGAGGTTGAGGGAAAAGCAGCTTCTTGGTAACTTCTCTTTTTAGAAGAAGTCAAGGTTCTTACTTCCCGATTTTAGCCATTCAGCTTTGGTGTGGGGCTAAGAAGTCCAAAGCAAAGACGGGTAGGGGTATGAAGTCAAATGGAGTGCTAGGAGATCACCATGGAAACTGTTACACCACCATCCTCCCCACCCCCACGCCCTAGCAGTTACTTGGCACATCTGAAGGTCTCTGTTTTTGTCAAGTTGTACCGTCTGGCTGCCTGCACGGTCACCCTGTGTCCTGGGATTTGTAAAAGGGATCGAAGTAACCTGACCCCAGAGTTGTACCTCTAGACAGTAGGAGTGACACATTTTCCAAGCCACAAAACCAAGAAAACCCTGCCCATTTTTTAAATTTTCAATGTTCATTATGCAAATAATACAAATCTATAGTCTTTTTTTTTTTTTAAGGCAGTGGTACGGAAGTGTAGAGAATGATGTCAAAGGTGCCCTCTGTCGCTTCCACAATGAATCGTTGGCTAAGTTCTCCTTTCGGATCTTACATGATTCTTCATCCCTGAAACCCATCCTAAACTAGGGTGATGGGGAGTGGGGACGGTGAAAGCCTGGTAACGGGTAAGAGCCACAGCTGTGAGACCTGGTCCTCGTGCCCAAGCTGCACGGATGAAAGACCCAGGTGGCCAGCGAGGAGGCCCCGGGACCCCTGTCTTCTAGGAGCCATTTTTCTGTTTATTGGCTGGAGAGGGTTATGCATCTGAGTGCTGTTGTCTGAGGCTCTGTGTGGAGCGTGGATGTGTCCGGTTTAGGCAGCGGGAGGGAGCGGAGTTCAGGAAAGTGTGTAGGCGCTGAGGGCTCACATGGTCCGGGAAGGTGTGGTGGGACCTGAAGGGGACGGCTGCAAAGAATCGGGAGAATTTGGGTGAGACGAGGTGAGACTAGAAACCATTGTAGACGTGGTGCTGGCTGGAGGAGGTGACATGCTCTGTCATGGAGGGGAGAGGTGATGTCCCTTCCAGGCAGCACTAACACTTGACACATACCAGAGGCATTCGTTTTCTTGTGTCCAGAAAACATCTGTGCCCATTGCTAGGTTGGCAAGCAGCCCACCATGTCCTGGTGCCCACACTGGACCCCTTGGGCCACCCGACTGATCATTTGTGTCTACATCTCTTATGTCCCTTGGTCCCAGGATGAAGGCAGTCCATGGTCAGGTCCATCATTATTAATGGTAATAACAGCTAACGTTTTACTGGCTGTTTACTGTGTTCCAGGTGCTGCGGTAAGTAAGGCCTTTACATTTATGAATGTAATTAACTTTCACAACCTTGTGAATAAGGACTGTGATTAGTCGAGAGCAATGGGTGGAGAAACTGAGGCATGGAGATGTGAAGTGACCTGTCCAAGGTCACGTGGATGATAAGTGATTGGGGCTGAGACTCGAGCCGCCGGAAGTGTCGCTGCCGATCGCTTCCCCATACTGCCTCTTGCCTGCACCCGCTAGCTTCGTTCCACATTCCACCCACGCTCCAGAGGGACCTCGGTGGAGCCCCTCCGCCAGTCATCTCACACCAGAGAGCAGAATCAGCCTTTTCTGTCCTCTGTGGGTCAGCCCCGAACCAGCCCTGTGAGGCAGAAATAACCTTTCACCGCATGGCAGAAAATAGAATTGAGGTTACTGACCACTAGGCAGGGAAGGCGGTCCCTGTCCCAGCCCCAGCCACCACTCTCCCGAAGGGCACTGTCGTCTGCCAACCGCCACTGGTGTGCTCGCATTGGAGCGTATCGGTGTGTAAAATGGTATACACTTTGTGGATTGTGTATTTGCAGGGCCCTTTGCCTAACACATGCGGTCACTTTTGGGAGATGGTGTGGGAGCAGAAAAGCAGGGGCGTTGTCATGCTCAACAGAGTGATGGAGAAAGGATCGGTAAGTCATGGATTTATCTCCTGTTTACCTCACCGTCCATGTGTGTCCCAGTCCGTGAAGTTGACATTTTTGTTTGAGTTTCTTTACATTGCTTTTATATTTCTTTTATGTGATATCTTCTTTATTAGAAAAATTTAAAGAAGCATTATATAAATAACGTGTGTATTAGTCAGAAAAGCAAATGAATTAAAAAGGGGAAAAGTCCAGTGCCCTGGACCTCTCCCCACCCCCCACCACTGAGTCGGTCCCTCTCCAGAGTGCCCGTGTGTGTTGTGCTGTTCCATTAAGGAGCTGTGTGAGCGTAGCTTTATTTTTGAAAAGCAAGTTTCTCCTGTATCCTCCTCCTCCGTGTTTTTCTGGCCGGTACAAGTTTGCCTGCCGTTGACTGAGCTGTGGCAGTGGCCGCATTCGGGATTCGCCTCTGTCAGATACGCAGACGCCTGGCTCCCGGCCGCCTCTTTAACGTGGATGCTGCCTGCCTGTGTGTTCCAGCAGAATTTGCGTTAGCGTTTCTCCCAAGTTCTCTGCAACTCTCTAAACATCCCCCGGGATAGCTTGTGGGCTGGAGGTGCGTGATGGTTCAGGCAGCACCCTCCGCGTATCTATCCCTGCAGTCGCCACCGTGGCCTCTCCACTTGCTCTCCTCTGGGTACCCTACCCCCGGTGTCCAGAACGGTCTTTTGAAACCCAAGTGTCACCACAGCTCTTCCGAGCCGAAAACCCTTGTGCGGCCCCCACAGCCTCCTGGGATGTGCATAATGTGGCTACAGGACCTAGTTAACCTGGACCCCGACTTCCCACCTCCATCTCCAGACTCCAGCCAGAACACACTTCTGCTGTTAGTTTTTTGCCAGGTTCTGGCCTAACAGTCTGAGTCCCCGCTCAGCCCCAGCCCTCCGGCAGGTATCTCCAGGTGCTTCCCTCGCATCAGCCACCGCCCGCGCTCCCTCCACCCCCTCACTCTGCAGATTGCCTGTTGGAGACCCGTCTCCCAGGGAAGGCGACGTGGTGTACAGGGCACAGTGTGGCAGCAACGGAGCGAATAGACGCCACACCCCTGCTACCCTGGCTCCTTCCCCCCTCTCCGGCCACGGCCAGCACCCTGGGGGCTCTCCAGCCTCAGAGCGGGGGAGGCCCTGGGATGGGCTGAGGAATGTGGACACCAGGAGGAGCGGGCAGCCCAGGCGCAGAGAACTGCGTGTGCCCGGGCCTTGCCAGGTGCTGGCACGACGCTTGGGCTCAGCCGGGCCACTGCTGTCACAGCTGGCCTGGCCGCCTCGGACTGGGCTCGCCAGGACAGCACGCAGGCTCCAGAGAAGCCGCCCCTCCAAAGAAAGCACAGTCATGGCCCTGGAGGGAACAAATGCAAGTGCAGAGAAGTAACACATCAAAGGAAACGTTTTGTCCGTGGTGAAACGGGAAGCACTCACCGCAAAGCCCGCCCCCAGCGGCAGTCTTAGTCACGGCGGATGGTCCTCTTACGACAGCGCAAGTTTAAAATCATGGGTTTTGCCTCAGCCCCGTTTTCTTAAAGCTTTTCTTTGCTTGATAATAACAGATGAAGAGCTTACCTGAGTGTTCAAAGAATGAAATAATGCTTCTGAGAAAATTTTTTTCAGTGAAAGTGGTTTTGATGATTTCTGCTTCAGTGGCTTGATTAGTAAACTGTGAAGTTACAGATGCGAGGCCAACTCCCACCCGTCACCACTCTTGTCAGCAGTTTTGAATAAAGAAACAAACTTTAGGTTCCCACAGCACACACTCTCTGCAGGGGAAAGAGAGACCGACGTGGTGGCCTGTGCACGTGTTTGGCACTGGTGAGCAATCGGGGTCCCGGAGCCTCGGCGCTGCCCACAGGGGGCCGCTAACACACCCACCCCCACATGTGGCCGTCAAAAATGTCTCCAGACTTCGTCCAGGGCCCCCTGGGACACAAAATTGCCCCCGTTGAGAAGCACTGTTTTAGATCGTGTGGAGGGTTTGGGAATTTTAAATCGAGTCATTTATTCAGAAATCATTGGATATGGTAGCATTTCCTTTTTACTTGATTGTTACTAACTTTGTGTGAAACCCCTTTGCCGTTGGCCCAGTCTAGCAGGGGTGCTGTCCTGACCCTGTAGCTGCATGCTGGCCCCCAGGCCTGCTCTTGGTTGTCTCCTATCCAAGGCTGACTGTAAATGGACAGCTTTTCCCCTTGGCCATTTAAAAAAAAAAAAAAAAAAAAAAGGAAACCTGGCTAGTTGGTTTTCGTGTAGTTTCTGTGACAGGAGTCTCTGTTTTCCTGTGTAACTACTCTTCCTGCTCAGGGGTCATTCAGGCATGCACACTGGCGTGGAAAGCAGCGAGTGGTTTGAGATTCTTAAAGTTTCTTGGGACCAATAATTTCAGTTTGGCATCACCATTGTCATCCCCATTAGAGCTGACTGGGGAAGATTCTAAGAAGTCGCAGTGTCTTATTTGCTCAGCTGATCTGATTACAAACTATGCATACAGCCCGCGGTAAGAACCAGCTTGCAGAGCGTTTCCATGCAATGCATATTTGTTTTCTGGTTTCCTTCCTTCTCTGAATAGTATAGGATGTGCCCCTCTTATTTTTGGCAGACCTGCCTGTTACCCTTTTGGGACCATGTGCTTCCTGGAGAACAGTGGTGCAGAAAATGATTATGTGTGTTAGATGGGGCTCATCCAAGTAGCCCAAGTTCTTGTGGGTTCGAGTTAAAGATTGAGTTGAGACATGTCCGTGAAGAGCGTGTTTGTGTGTAAGGGCGGGGATTGTTGTTTAGGCAGGGGAAATAAACAAGGCGATGTTTAACCAGAAACATCAGCTGTATCTCTCTCCCAAACCCCTGACGAACGGTGCTGTTTGACGTCGGTACTTCCGTGCACGGTGAGCCTCTGGATTTGTGTCGCGGGAACGTCAGGGTTCACCCATTTGCTTAGCGCTCTGGTTCATCGTTCCTTGGGAAAGCCAAATCCTGCATCGCAGGGTCACCCCAGGTGACACTCATGGATTTTTCTGAAGATTGCCTCGCTGTTTTGGAAGGCCCCAAGGCCTCTCTCTCACATCCAGCTTCGAGGTGGGACGGGCGGCTGTGGCAGACACCCAGCACGTCGGCGCCGCCGTTTGCTGCTGACCCAGGATGTGGCACAATTTGAATTCTGGGGAAGAACTGCTTTCTAATAAAATAAATCTCCTCCTCAGGGTGGGATGGATCAGTTTAATAGAACAGCAGCAAGTAGTGCTCTTGAGCTTAGTTTTGTTGTATTTTGTGTGTGAAAACAGAAATGTCTACAGGAAATGACAGCAAGCAGAGCACGGCATGTTCCTGCGGATGCCTGAGAGCTCTTGAAAATAAATACTGCTGGAATGACACTTAGTGGGCGCCAGAGTTGCGCGCTAGTGGCGTTCCAGAGTCTTGGTCTTTACCCAGATCCCGGAGACTTACTGGGCTTTGTATTCGGTTTTGAAAGTGAGTGAGTGCTGTGTGGAAGTGAGATGTCAAAGACTCTACTTCCCTGCCCGTGAGACCTGAAGGCACGGGCCTCTTCGGTAGCGCCCGGCCGTCCTGCGTTTCTGCTGCTCTGCTCGTGGCATTGGGGGCACGCTCCAGCGCACGTGCCGTGGAACCCACCAGGGCAGTCTCTCTGCCTCTGGGGTCTTCAGGAATTGCGCGGGTCTGATTATTGGAAGTATGGGAAGAAGTGCATCCTTGAAGCCTCTAACTCAAGTCCCCCTTCCAGCTGCCCCACCCCCTTTGGCTCAGGAGGGGACCTCGCCATGTCATTGATGCTTTTGGGTCCTGAGCGGCAGAATTGCTTTGATGCTGACAGGTTGGTCCTGTTCCAGGGGTTCATCTTCGGCAACTCCTCATCGGTGTGAGGAGGAGATGTGGGTGAAACTGGCCCAGTCTTTCAAACAGGCCCGGTCCAGGCCCTGTTGGTCTTCTGTTTCAGGACCATGACGTCTCCTGCTATGTTGGCATCCCAGTCTGGTGTTTCTTGGTTTGTTTCTTCTTTTTTTCTTGTTTTTTGGGTAGCGTGCAGCTTCATTAGGGCAGGACTAGCGGGCCTTCCTGATTCTGTCTTCACTCTGCCCAGGAGCCTCCTGGTTCTTCACTGCCCAGGTGACACCAGGTTCTGGGCCTGCCGCCAGAGTTGCCGTGGTCTGGTCTTCCCTTGGCCCTGCTCCCTGCTGCTCCTCTGAGACTGGCTTCTGGGCAGTCACTGGGAAATCCTCGTCATCCCTCCGAGCACGCCTCTGTCAGAGGCCACATCTTTTTTTTTTTTTTTCTTAAGGTTTTATTTATTTGAGAGAGAGCGAGAGCACGCGGTGAGGGAGAGCAGAGGGAGAGGGAGAAGCAGACTCCCCGCTGAGCAGGGAGCCTGATGCGTGGGGCTCGATCCCAGGACCCTGGGATCATGACAGAGGCCACTCCTTCCATAGGGTTTTTTCTGATCGCTTGCCTGTAACCTCACCCGGCCTGGAACCTTTGCCTCTTCTGGATTCCCACAGCACATCCATAGCGTTTACTGCCGTTACGCCCCCTTGTCACTGATCTGCGCCAACAGTCTCTTCTCACAGACAGAGGCTGGGTGGGCCTGGAGGGGCTCCCTCCACCTACTGTGGCATTTCAGGCGGCTTGTCCTGTGCCTCAGAGGGGGTGCTGGTGGGCCAGTGTGTGTTCAGTTGCAGTGGGCTTGAATTTATACCATTTCCCAAAGAGCTAGTTTGATAATTTCATGTGATGGAAATCATAATGTCTTTGGGGTTCCCTCTGTCTAGGCACATTGTCTGACCCTCTGGCTCGTAGACCTTACAGCTTAGCCCCCATCTACCTGCTGTTTTGGTCCAAAATGTTCATCATCAAACAGAAAGGTCTGGTATAGAAACTTGACTCAAAGTATGCCACTAAATCTGAGTCAAATTTTCTTTCTTAAACTCTAAGTGAAACCAAATCTTTGGGAGTTTGCTTGCTTTGAAGAAAAAGTTAATGAGCTGTATTTAAATGAAGACCATCAAATAGTTCCTGAAATCGTTAAACTAGAAAATCAAAAGGATTTTTGGGGACTGAGCCAAACCAGAATGAAAGGGTGGGATGGGGCAGCAGGTGACCCCAAGCCTTGGAGGAGCCCCTCTCCACGCCTTCTCTAAACATTCAGTTACAGCCCTTCAGCCTGTTCATAGTGTCCCACAGCCTCTTCTAGACTGGGTTCTGTTCCCCTGGGGCAAGGGGTCTGTATTGTGCCAACAGCAGTGATCCGGTTCTTGGTAATCTTCGAAATGGCTACACACAGTAGTCTGTGAGAGACTAAAGCTCCGGTACAGCCTGGCTTCACCTCGCAGATGGTCCAGAAGGGCCAGACCCCTGAAGCACCTCCTTGTGTGGGGAGCACCAGGGAACAGCTATGTTTGGAGGTCTGAGCCCTCTCTGCCCAACTAGCCCTGGGTCTTAACCCCCTCCCCCCATCTCCCCAAGAGGCAGGTAGGTTATGCTGATGGTGACTTCCAAGGTCAGAAAACGCCTGGTTTTCCTTTGGATTGTCCTGAAGCTCATGGAAGGTACTCCATACCTCTCTTCATGGGAAGAACAGTCCTTTGCTTATAATAATTCATCATTTTCTCTCCTAGTTAAAATGTGCGCAGTACTGGCCACAAAAAGAAGAAAAAGAAATGATTTTTGAAGACACAAATTTGAAATTAACCTTGATCTCTGAAGATATTAAGTCGTATTACACAGTACGGCAGCTTGAATTGGAAAACCTTACAGTGAGTATGACATGTACTTCGTCCTTCCCACGGCCGCTGCTTGAGAGGTCTTTCTACTTGGGTGATATTACCTAATGCCAGCTTTTCTGAGTTTTGTACACTCTGAGCAAGATGTGGTCTTAGCTCTGTGGAAAGCAGAGCTTACCCGCTTATATACCAGGGGAGCTCGGGGCCGGGGCGGGGCGCGGTGTCAGGGGGTGTCCTCAGTTCCCTCCGCCACGTAACTCTCTCCCTGAACTGTAACACTAGTTCATCACAGTTTCTAGGGAAGAGGGACTTTCTCACCTAAAACTTCTCTCTGTTCCTGTCTTTGCAACTACAGAGGGACTGAAGTGGTGGCCGCAGGTTACATAGCAGCCGCTCTTTTCTTGTCCACAGTCTCTCTAGCTTGAAGTGAGGGCAGAAGGGCCCTTCTGGGACTGACTCCCAAGGTCATAGTCTGTATACGTTTTCTGAGTGAGGTCTTGGGCTTAATTTGTCATGGGAAGAACTTGAACACCAGCTGCTAGCTCTCATTGGAAGATGGTCTTGGAACAGGTCAAGGCACAGTGCTCTAAGAAGCAGTACCACACAAGACCCTGCCCTTGGGGATTCGAAATAATTCACCAGGAGCCATCGCCCAGAGGACCCTGTGCCAGGGCCAGCAGCAGCAGGAGGGAGCTCCCGGCAGCTCCTGGGGACGGTGTTGGCCGTAGTGGTCGCCACTCCCTTCTGGCCCACTCCCTGGGCTGGATTCCTGGCCCCACCGTGTCAGACTGTCAGACTTTGGGGAGGGGCATCACATATCACCGCATCTCAGTTTCCTCTGCTTTCAGATGGGGCTTTTGTAAGGGTTCAGAAGGAATACAGCGAAATGTTAGAGCAACACCAGGCTCAGAGCACATGCTGGGAAGGGTTAGCAGGTTCTGTGGGGTTGAAGTGACCGGATTATCCAGGGCAGTCCCCACCCAGACTGGAGGGAAGGCGGGAGCAGTGCAGACTTGGGTGGGGGCTTGCTGGGGGGCTGCCCCTGAGTTCTGCTCACGTGTTAGTTTTCAGCTGACTGCTTTCCAGTCCACATGACTCCTGTTGTTGAATTCCTGACTGAAGTAAGATCTAGAACTTAGCGCCGGTTACCACGAAGCAGAGGAAAGTAAGTCGCGTGGCTTTGCGTGGCTTTGCGTGGCTTTCTGTGGAATGTAGCGATGCAGCTGAGCCCGCGCCGACTCTTCTCCGTGTGAGCGCTCTGCAGCCCGAGCCTGCGGCAGCCCCACACCCGGCCTCCGAGGCTGTGATTTATGGAGGGGCTTGACAGAGGATTTTCAGGAATAATGTTGGCCGCATGGTGCAATGTGCCTGGAGGATTATGTCATAGACGTTCTTTTTCATGCTTTTTAAAATTTTCAAGCCAGACATTAAGAGGGACTTCTGGTAAACTTTAAGAAAATTTCTCCCGCTTGTTGAGGGGAAATGGAATTCAGACGGAGCAGAAGGGGTTCATGCTGTTCGCATGGTGGAGCACCTGCAGCAGCGTGGAGGTTTTGATGTTGGGAAGGTCTGTTTGCTCTAACAGACTTTGTTCTTAAAAATTCTTTTCTCGGGGCGCCTGGGTGGCTCAGTTGGTTAAGCGACTGCCTTCGGCTCAGGTCATGGTCCCGGAGTCCTGGGATCGAGTCCCGCATCGGGCTCCCGGCTCGGCGGGGAGCCTGCTTCTCCCTCTGACCCTCTCCCCTCTCATGCTGTTTCTCTCTCTCTCTCTCTCAAATAAATAAATAAATAAAATCTTTAAAAAAAAAAATTCTTTTCTCAGAGGTGTATCTCTTCAAGCAGAGATTTAGAACGAATTCCTTAAGAAAGAGGTGGGCAGCTGTGAGGGAGGGTGTCAACAGGAGATGATCTACACCTTTTTAATGATTAAAGAAGGAACTTGCTTTTGGTATATTTTCTTCTTACTCCATTTTAAAAATCTGTTTTTAAGTGTTTTTCTTTCCCTGAAAAAGAGAAAGGGCATCTCTCATTTTAAGCCATACAAGGAGACCCATTTTCTAGGGAGGAAAAAATGGCATTGCTCTGGGTGGTTCTGTAAATGATCCTAATGTCATCTGCAGATTCTTCCAGTTCTGCAGAAGGGTACCCGTGTGTCAGAGCTGGTGCAGGGTTCCGTACGTGTATTCTTTGCTGATGTTAAGTCGCTGGTGTTTATCGTAGGCTCTCTCACAAGTTTTCATCACCCTGGGCCCAGGGAGGTTGTTAGAACTAAAGCTGTAAGCTCTGGGAGTGCAAGGGCAGTGTCTTTTTTTTTCTAAAGATTTTATTTATTTATTTGAGAGAGAGAATGAGATAGAGACAGAGCATGAGAGGGGGGAGGGTCAGAGGGAGAAGCA